TACGGTCCATGTTTGATGCTACTACACTATTAATTATAGAAAAAAAAGAAAATAAAATTGTTTTTCCTAGAAATTAAAATTATTCCATCACATCTTTCATTATATAATATGGACAAGTAGGTATTTATATATTTTTTTTCTGGTCACGACAAAATAATATATTCAAATGTTGTTGTAAGTTTTAAATACAAAATACGAGTGTACGTATGTATTTTCCTTTCTGTTTTATAAGATTATGTACGAGTTGAAATTTTTCATGCATTAGCGTTTCACTGATAAGTTTTGCACGAAAGGTAATATTGAAACAATGAAAGCATATTTTGCATGTTGAATAAAAAATGTTGCATTTATTTCGTAGGTGCTTGGAATAAGTCAAGTCGGATGCCGATAACAAAATAAAATTTAGTCAAAATACAACGTTACAACTGATGTTCCATCTCCTATCATCACGTTGTCAATGCATGACCTCCAAAGGCGGAAGAAGTACTGGAGGAAGATCAATTTGGATTTAGAAGATATAGAGGAACGCGGGAGGCCCTTTTAGCTTTACGGGTAGCAATAGCGAAAACAATAGAAAAAGGAAAGAGTGCGTACATAGAATTGGTGAATTTAGAAGAAGCTTTTGATAATGTTAAATGAGACAATATGTTAAATATACTTAAAAATGTAGGGATGAGATACGGGGATTAAAGAATGACATACATATAATTTGTATAAAAAGCAACAGGTAGTTATAATAGAACTTGAGCAGCAACGTGGAGTAGTAAATATAAGTAGTAAGAAATATAAGAACATTAAAAGACAGTACATGTAGATATACAGGAACAAAAGATTAGTATGTTTATATTTGCAAACGATATACCAGTATTAGCATCTAACGAAGAGGTGTTAGAGATAGCTTTAAATAAAATGGAATGGGCATTGACAAAATAGATAGTATTGTATGAAAATAAAATAGCAAATAAATATTGGTGTATAAGGAAAGAAAAGATAGAGAAATTCCGAAAATTTATTAACGGATTTTCGAAATTCCGGTGATTTCCAGTTCATATCTATTTATTACAAGTGCCTCAGTTAAATCACTTTCATTTATACCTGGTGCCTAAATTGCATTTAAAGTGTAAATATCAGAACAGAGTATGCTCCGGATATATTAAAAAATAAGTGCATAAATAAAGTTTTCATATCGTCGGAGAATCCCAGATTAGTCGCGTTGACTAAGCGAAGGTCTAACCATTCTCTTTTTGAAACTGTTAACATAAAGAATGTGTGTACACACATCAAACATCCGAATTCTTCCGGTTCAGATTACGAAGTAAATGAAAAATACTGACGTAAATGTGGAATATCCGAAGTGGGTTGTTGCTCCTGTTTCCTTGGACAATCAATGTTCAATTTTTTATTTATTCGATACCCGTATACTGCCGTGTATTTACTATACAAAATTC